ATCTATGGCTTCTATTTGCAATATTCTGGAAGCAATTTACAAACTACTACTGTATTGCTAGCTTATTTTGATCTGTAACAGCTCTGAGGAGTCCACCTTGTGTGGACCTGTCAACAGCACACATTCTCAGCAACTTGCTGCACTTGGGTCATCAAAAGGTTAAGCAGGATACTTGGATAACAAGTCCAAGTTTTCTAGGGAGAAAATTTCTCCAGTGCTAATTCAATGTATTAAATTTAGCTTTCTAGATTGTGGTAGAGGTGGGTGTACTGTCAGATTCCACAGAGCTCAGAAAGGCAGGTAGGATTACCCTTTGCACCACAGCCAAGGCTTCAAAAACCTTGCTTGTGTCTGGATGGTTAGTTTTCTAGTGCAGAAACTGGCTTGAACACGGCTTGTATTTGGAGGATATATGCCAATTTAGAGATGCTGGCAAAATAAAATATTTAAATGCCAAAATTTGCTACTTTCTAAAGCCATGTATTACATTTATTTGAAATCTCCTGATTTTAAACTCAGAACTCTTGTTTAGGGGATGATACAAAACTAAATGTAGGCAATTAGACCACAATTAGCTATGAGTAAGTTCTACTTTGAAAATATCAGTGTGCTATTTAATTAATTAATTATTTTTTGGGTGGTGCTGGGGATTTGATGGGCAGCCTTGTACATGCTAGGCAAGCACTCTACCAACTGAGTTATTTCCCCACCCAACTCTTCAGAGTGCTTTCAAGTGCATGGTACCAAGGATTACCTGAGGACCCCTGACACATAAATATTTTGCCTCAGCCAGTGGTAGAACAGGATCCATGAATCTTGATTTTAAGGACAAGTGATTCCAATGAGGCAAGTTTAGGAAAGTTGGCCTAAGGGGGAACACAGTAGAACAATACCACCAAGCCAGGTCCCCTCCCCCTCAATCAGAGATATTGAAACTGGAGAATGAGAAACATTCAGCTAGAATTGAGAAATCATCTACAGAACAGTTTATTTCAAGTCCAGAACACAAAATTATTCATTTTAACAGACTGCAAATTTTTACTGCATGAATAAGAATACTTAAGTGTTTTGCTATTCACAAGTGCAAATTTATTATTGAACTTTAGGCTCGAATGATTCATATATGTATCAGTTTACTACACAGGAGTTCTTTAACAAATTTTGAGAAAGTATTTTACATAAAAACAAAGCATTGACCAATATTCTCCAGCCATCACAACTATCCTTCAGTCAAGATTTGGCTGAAGATCACACCTTCTAGAAAACAGTGCAGACTGAATAGAATGCAGTATTTATAGACTTCAGCTTCCTGCTGCAGCTAAGTTTCCCTTTCTTTGATGGCTTCTGCATGTTACACCATTACACAGGTCTTTTAACTAGTGACTTAAGTAGAATGAAGTTGGTGCAACTTGTCCCCAACCAAGAACCTACAGTCATGATGAAACCAAGGAACTGATAATGAGGGCTTTTAGAAAGGGCATTTTCAACCTAATAATGAAAGAGTTTAGTATCATACAATATGCTCTATTGTTTTGTGTTCAGTAACTACTGCCTGGAGTGCTATTGTTGCTAATATAATCAGTTCCCATCAAAATATAAAGTAAAAAAAATGTACACTTATATCTACTCTTACCTGAATATCTCAGATCTCTTGAGACCGAATGTTCCACAAAAGTGGAATTTCTTCCTAAGTTACACTGAATGTGGTACAATGTGTACAACTCGGTTAACCAGTGCCTTCTTTTCATTTCCAAGATTTTTTCCTTATCTTGAATCAAAAGCACAACCTTACCACCATATCATAATGCACTGGCTGTTTAACAGTTTTGTATAAAGTCCAACTCAAGCTTATTTTGGTTTATTGTACATGCTTTATTAAAACGGTACTTGTATTTACAGTATCTGCAGAAAGAGTCCCTTCCAAGGTACTCTCACACACCCAGACACACCCACACAGACATCCACACCACGACCATGCACCCACACAAGTGAGATGTGAGGGTCAGACTCCTGAAATTAGGCAGCTGTTGGGGATAAGAGTTGTTGATTTTTTTTTTTTTAAAAGAGAAAAGCACGGGGGGAATGCATTTGGCCATGACATTGCTAATTAAATTTGTGTATATTAACATATATGGCAGTTAACACTGAATATTCCTTTTACATTCTATATACACAGAATGACATCAAGGTTTTGTGATCAACAGAATATTCCAACTTCAGTCTCAATGCTGCTTGTAGTGACTTCTGAATTCATATAGGGGCTTACCCTAAAAATAATTCAAGTCTATGGACATGAAATAAGGCACAATTAATATTGATTTGACCTAGGGGAAAGAAGGAAAGGAATAAAACTGGTTTCAAATGATCTTAATTGGGAAACTGCTTTGACTTTAACCCACTTAAATCCATTCTAAGTTCCAAAGATTTCTTAGAAATGTTTTTTTCTTTTCCCTGACAAAGCCCAAAAAGAAAAGTTTGGGAATTCACATTTTCATGTTTCAGTAGCCAAAACTACTCAACTCAATGTGTAACTGCCCCCTCCTCTGCTCAGGGCTCCTCCCTCCTCAATGCCTGAATAAAAACGCAGCATGAAATAGGAGTCCCTTGCTGTTTTCTGAGGAGATTTGTACACTTGAGTAGCAAATACATATCTGGTTGTCTTTGATATCTCAGAAAAAGATGGGGGGAGAAAGGGAAGGGAAAGTAGGAAAGAAGGAAGAGAGGAAAGAAGAGAAGAAGGGAGGAAGAGAGGAAGATAAAAGAGAAAGAGAAAAAGCTAAAAGTAACCTGTGACTTTCTTGCAGTTTAAGAAATCCCTGTTTCCTCCTTTTCAGGACGATGAAGCCCCACCAGACATTACACACAACTGCAACAAATGAGTCTGGCAGCATAAATAATGTCTAGTATCAAGTCTTCATAGTGAGACCCATACATCTTGTACACAATCTGTTGAATGTTTTTCGCAGCAGGTGAATCAAACCCAAAGACACTGGACATTCTGTGAAAGGGAGTAAGAATTGCAGTTCTGAAGGCCCCTGACTTTGGTTGTTTACAGAGTTCAATCCTGTTTATTGTGATCCTTGGTATCTTCTTCATCTGTATATTCTGAAGGTTCTTCCCCTGGTTTTAGGAGTCTGCCTACATAATCATATTTTTCTGAAAGATACATCAAAAGAAAATCAGTAATGGTCAAATTATTTCACTACTCCATCATACAAAGGTAAGGTGCTTGACTCTCTTGGGATCATACAGAGTAAGCCCAGATCTTCCTAATGCTTCACCACGGCTTGTCTTTAAACCTCCGGAAAGCCTGAACAAAAGAATGCAGGGGCTTTCAAGGCTTGGGCATTAGTTTTTGCAGGACAGTGCTCTATGCCAGTGATTCTTAATTGGATATGGTGTCAGAGACACATGGAGAACTTTTAGAACAATATATATATATATATAGGACCCACCTCAGAGCATCCAGCTGAGACCTTTGGGTCTTCTTTTTTTTTGTACTAGGATTGAACCCAGGGACACATAACCACTAAGTCATATACCCAGGCCTTTTTATTTTTTATGTTGAGACATGGTCTCACAAAGTTGCCGGGGCCAGCCTTGAACCTATGATCCTTCTGTCTTAGCCTCCCAAGTCACTAGGATTACAAGCCTGTGCCACAGCCATCTGGCTAGACACATGTACTCTGAAGCTGACCTAAAAGTGTACTATGAGTCTCGGAATAGTTCTTTAACTTTTTTTTTTTGGTGGTGGTGCTGGTAATTGACTGCATGGCCATTCAAATGCCAGAACTGACTCCCACCAGCCTAGTTCTTTAACAGTTCAAAATATTATAATCAAGGAAATGTGCTGGCAATGTAGGGCTAACAGGTATTTAAAATGTATAAATATATTGGGCTTTACATATAAGTGGGATGAATAAAGTCTAATAATTTGGAGAACAGACCATGAAAAATAAATGGTGACTTTCTTGGGGCTGAAGAAGGGGGGTGGCTCAAGGAGCCCATGAGGTAGAGAATCACATGGTGAGCAGATTCAGTTGGAATATTCTTGGGGAGAAAATGTGACTCAGGAGTCATCCAGAAAAAAACATGAGAAGATCAAAATTCATTTGTTACTTCTTACCCTGTTTCTGAGGTTTTAGCGTGTGACCTGTCACGTTATTATTCCTTTCCCCTATCAAACTCTTCTTAGATCTGCTACTTTGCTTGTTTTTATGTGACCAGGTGTTTAACTTAGAACTCTGCATGTAGGTGATATACATCAACATGCTTCTTTCTTGGTCAGGAATTGAAACCTAGGCTAAGTGAAAAAGTTACCTGAGTCAGCTAGTCAAAGATGAGTTAAGAGAACTACTTTACACATGACCAGTACAAGCACCCAGGGAGCCAGAACAGCTGTTCCAGGGGACCCAGTGGTCAGCTCCACAGCTGACAGTACCATCCAGGTGGTAGAGACTGACGTCACCAGGGCATGATAAAGGGAATAATAGGGGCTGTGGCTGTGGCTCAGTGGCAGAGCACTTGCCTAGCATGTGTGAGGCACTGGGTTTGATTCTCAGCACCACATATAAATAAATAAAACAAAGGTCCATTGACAACTAAAAAAACTTAAAAAAATATATGTTAAGTCTTAAGGCTAAAAGTTTCACAATTTTTGAGATTTAAAGTTTGTACTAAGCCAAGTTTTTTTTTTTTTTTGAGTTGGTGGTCTCACTATATTGTCTAGGCTAGTCTCAAACTCCTGGGTCCAAATGATCTTCCTGCCTCAGCTTCCTAAGTAGCTGGCACTAAGCTAGGTAAAAAGTCAGTAATAACGTGGATTTTCAAAATAACTATCACATGTAACAATCATACTAATATTTAGCTATGCTTAAAATATCATCTAATAATGATGTTAATGAAAGAGATGACAACCATAGGCTTTTAAAAGATGTGAAATAGTATACACTTCTTTATATGTAATTAATTTTTTAAAGAACCCAACAAAAGGAAGGTACCTTTAAACTGCATTTCCCATTCTCGAACACTCTCCATTTGTACTGCGTTCAAATCTGAGAGATCATCATATTCATCTCTAAGTGCATCCTTATCTAGGCAAAATGTTGCCAGTCCTCTGGAGGCATCCCTACCAGCAAATATTCCATATGGACCCGCTGAAAAAAAGAAAAGAAATTATAATAGCCTGATTAATAATATTTTAGAATGTACAAATAAAAAATCCCCACCATGATTCATATTTGGTATATAGCTTTAATTTAAAAATATGCATGGATAGATGAGAAAATGAGAAGAAATTTGTTGGAAAACTGCCTTTCACTAAAGTGAAAGCTTTTTGGTGAACATTGAACCTTACATTTCAGTTAGTTCAGATACCCCACAACTAGTTTTTACAATGAAGACTGAGACGTCAGGTTTAGAAGCCAGTTTGCTTAAGAAGCCAGAGCATTCTACTGGCTGCTGTTAATAGAGGGATCTAAAAATAACCAATGGCTATGTCCTAGGCAGATTCAGGTGAACTGTGAATCTATACCATTTTTCTCTTGTCCTGATTTCATCTTTGCAGGTCTAGTGACTAGTTCAATGCACAGTACATGTTTGATAAATCTTTCCTTAATAAATGTTTTGGTAAAAAACATGACCGGCTTTAAAAATATCATCTGGCCATCAAAATATGCACAAATTATCATTAAGGAAAACAACAGTTTGTCATGACTCCTGGGAATCCTAGTAAGGAGCTTTAAGGAATAGCTCTGGACTGTTTTGCTAGAGGATTCAGGTACCACCCTCAGAGAGGATGGAAGGCCTGACGGAAGGCCTGACTGCAGCGCTGACAGTGAAGCATTCCCCAGGTATGTCCTCGACAGCACCAGCTGTCCTGTTCATTTCTGTATCCCAAAAGCTCGGCACAGTGACTGGCATGGAAGAGTAACATAACACATTTCTTCCAAAAAAAATCAACCGTAGTTCCCAATGAGAAATTAAAGATTCTGACCCTTAAGCAGATTTGCTTATGAAAGTAAAATCTCTACCTAAATTACAATTAAAAAGATAATTCAGCTGTTTAAAACAGAAGGTAATATCAAAAAATTGAAACAACCTAATTTCTTATATAAAAAAATTTGATTAAATAAATTAGAGTATGTCAATATATCAAAATGCTACTCAGTTCTAAGAATGGAAAAGAGCAATCAGCAGAATATAAGTACTTACTATGAATTAAAAAAAAATACATGCATGCATATTTTATGTTTGTGTATGTATGAAAAATATCAGGGGGAAACAAATAACAACAAAAGTCAAAAAAAAAAAAAAGGAAAAATACCAGGAAGAATATAGACCAAATACTTAATAACAACAACATTTCTAGGGAATGGAAGAGAAAATTTGACTTCATATAATTAGTCTAGCTACTTAGGAAATTTTTTTTGTACTAGGGATTGAACCCAAGGGTGCTTTAGTACTGAGTTATATCCCAACCCTTTTCATTTTTTGAAACAAGGTCTTGCTAAGTTGCTTAGGGTCTCATTAAGTCGCTGAGGCTGGCCTTGAGCTTGTGATCTTCCTGCCTTAGCCTCCCAAATCAATGGATTACAAGGGTACACCACCCTTTCTGCCTTGCAAATGATTTTTATAATAAAACTCTTTTTAAGACTTAAATGTTTTCTTAGGTTGCAGAGTGGAATCAAGCAGATTTTTCTGCTTAAAACTCTTAGACTAATGCTAATAAGTAAGATTTCCAAAATACCTAAATTTTACAAAAGAAACTTTCTTGAGTCTGTAAGACACTCCTATATTCCAAAGGTCATTATGTAGAGAAAACAGTTTTAAAACCAAAGGCACTAGTTTCATTCACCATTATGAGTAACAAAGTAGTCAATAAGTGGGATTAGAATAAAATACTTTCTAATAAGAAGCAGATAAGCAAGAAAAATGGACACTCCTTGTTTTTTTTTTAAATAAGCACAAGAAAATGCAAGTTATATGTCAAAAAGGGTACCTTTGAGACAGAAATCTAAGTTTCTCTTAAATAGACAAAAATCTACACAGTTATGAACATTTATTTGAATCACTGACAGCACTGTACTATAAAGTTTATCGGTTATGAGAAACTCATTCTGACAAGTTCAGGCATGGAACCCATGTGACTTTAGCAGTTAATTTCAAAGTAGCATTATTAGGTATTGCTGTATTAATATAACAATGAGGATAATACTTCTGGTAAAGTACTTTTTATCCTCCTTTTCTCATTTTTTTTTTTGTTAATTTTTTTAGTTGTTGATAGAACTTCATTATTTATTTATTTATTTATATGTGGTGCTGAGATGAACCCAATGCCTCACACATGCCAGGCAAGTGTGCTACCACTGAGCCCCAGCTTCAGCCCTCTCTCATTCCTAAGTACTTCCCATATAAGGAATTCGATGACCACCAACAATTATCACTCAATAATTTCCCACTGAATAGATGTATCCTTATTTACTTTATTCATTCTCTTATTAAAATAAACTTAGGCAACCATTTTGTACTTTCAAATGTACCTTCCACATAAGAAAATGGGATACTATTTACCACTGGCCAACATTTAGGACTTTCAAACTTTGCCCATAATTTCAACTGACATTCAAAAGGGTACTTAGAAAAAGAAATTCAATATAGTCTATATTTACAGAGTAAAATCCAAAGTTCATTAAGTTGGAGTTAATTATCCCAGGGGAAATGTTAACTTCTAAAATTAAGCAAGGACAACTTCTAGGGAGAAGAAAAGTAGCCCATCCTAGAATAGTAGTCTTGTTTCTGTTTTTGTTTTCTAGAACTCTACATGCTTTGTGGCAATGGGTGCTTTCCAGAAGATTGAAGAGAGGGTCTGTTTGTGTGTTTGTGTGTGTGTGTAAAATTAGTGTGATAGTTTTTGTTGAGAAACAATGAAGACCAAAAATCTACAGACATTATGTGTGGCTTCTTAAGGCTGACAAGACTAATGCTATCAACTTAAAAACAGTGACAACTGACACACAAGAGGAAAAATAAAATGGATCATGGTTTTAACAATCTACAAATGGAAATTAATAACTTTGACTTTAAAAAGAATTTTCCAGCAACCACATTTTCCTCTCTTGGGAGTGTCACAAGGTGGAAGGTACAGATTTTGTTTTCTTTCCCACTTCAGTGACTTGCCTAAAATCACTGACAACGGGAAGTCCGATTTCCACTTTTTAACTACTGCAAATATTACATCTGGAGAAAATACACAGGGGATCCACAAACCCAAAGATGGAATGTCAACCCTGAAAACTGGAACATTTTACTAATTACAAAATTTCAGGGAAATGGAATTTTAGAATACTTGTTAAATTGAGGAAAACTGACAATAGCTTTTCTTAGCATTTTGTTTTAGCATGTACCTCCCTGTCTTGCAACAGTCAATCTATGTCAGGTACTTCAGAGTATAAATCATAAAACAGCAAACATGAGGTCCTGGGTTTGCTCTCCAGCAACACACACACACATACAAGAAAGAATTAAATAAGTAAAAATAAAATCATTAATCAGTAAATCTTCCATCTGTATCTTCGATATTAAAATACACTAGGGCTTTCTCTAGTAAATTTCTCTACCATGTTCTCCAAGGAAGCCTTGACATTGAATATAAAAACCAAACAAAACTTCATACATGTATTCTTTTTGATTTTAGATAGCTGACTTAGTAAGAGTAAATAACTCCTTAGTCAAGAGTCAATAATCCAAGCCAAATTCTAGACAAAATGATGTTTAACTCTAGCATAAAACAGGATGATTTGATGATTAACATATTGCCCTGCTCCTAGGCTGTACTGAATTAGAATTTCCCTGGAAGCATTTAACTTCTGAAGTTCTTTTTGGCAACGGTTTTCTTTTGCTCTTTCTTGTAAGACTGGTAAAGAACACAACATGGAGATTAAGAACTAGAGCTGGAATTGCACGGATTGTTCTGGCCAAGGAGGATTTGAGGTCTAATAAAAGGACATTTCCCTGCATTCATAATACAATCAGAAGTAGATCTGAAAATCAGCAGTACCTCCCCATCCCTCTACCCTCTTACATAACAAACCTAAATGTTATCAATTCTAATACTTTGATAATACTTCACTATCCAAACTGAAATAACAGGGAGCTACCCGAGGAAAGCAAATCCCAAATCGTATTAAGTCTATTTAGGTGCGATATAATTTACCAAAAAAAGCAAAGGCTGGATCAGTGGACTAACCTGTTTCTTTCTGATTGCTGAGACACATTTAGACTAATACAGACAATGCCCAACCAATTTTTTGATTTTATGAGTAAAAATAGACTGAATTTTGATCTCTTCCTGGGACCACTGCTAAGTAGCACAGTGCTGATGGTGATCTGGGCAGTGGCGGTGAGCTGCAGCTCCCAGTCAGCCCTGGGATGGAGGGGAAACTACCTGGACTACACAGCATACAGTGCTGCCAGTGTGTGTGTGTGTTTATATATATTTTTTGATAAGGTATTTAATAAATTACAGGAGACAGTCAACATTTTAGTATGAAATAGGCTTTGTGTATGATAATTTTGCCCAGCTGTAGGCTGAGTTAAGTGTTCTGGAATACATTCAAGGAAGGTTATGCTGTGATTTTTTTGGTAGGTTAAATGCATTTTTGACTGACTTTTTTCAACTTAACGATTAGGTTGTGAATTCATTATATGTTGAAGAGCATTTGTAATTTGTTAGAGTCTGTAAACAAGTCAGGATGGCGCCTGTGGAGATTTCTTATTGGTTGACTGCTGTATCTAGTTTATGTTAATTAAGATAAGCTGTGTGGAATGTATAAATACCTCTGTTGTCCTACAATAAATGGCTCCCACTCCTGCTGTATCAATACACAAGTTGTTCGTCACCCCCTGGTTATTTTGCTGCAGCCGGACTGCGGCAGTAATTCAGTAATAACTAAGAGAAATCTTGTTGCTTTAATAGACACTAAGATATAATGCTGTAGAAAAACAGATTCAAAATGTCAAAAAAATCCTGTTACAAAAAAAAGAATAGTATTGTTTAGCCAATAACAAATATTCTAGGACATAATTTTAAAGATGAAATATACTTTAAAGACATAGTTAATTATATGAAAATGATGTGACAGTAGTTAAAATTAAAATTTCACTTTTAGAGTAAACCCAACTGTGGTTTATATTTTTTAAAGTTCAAAAATCAATAAACCTATTTGTTTTAAACTACTCACTTTAATATAGGATGGGGTAACATATTCTTGTAATGGCAACAATATCTGTTCATTAAAAAACAATGTTTAAAGAATAATTTAATGAACAAAAAAATGCCAGGAAGAACCAAATAAATTATGTAATAACTGATAATTCTGGGATTATTAGGATAATTAGAGAAAGAGAGGAAACATTTCATGAAAGAATAAAAAATTTATAAGGACAAAATCCATGATAAATAATTTGTTTACTTCTATGTTTTAATAAACAATAGCTCTCAAGTCAAACTTATTTTAAGTTATTAAAGTTTATAAATAGTCCAGTCTTCTGGCCTGTTTTAACAATAGTCTTTTTTGAATTTTCAATACTTGGTAACTTAAATAAGATTATGATGGGCCTAAGAACAAATGTTGCAATACATAAAAGTGATAAATGAAGTCCAACACACACACACACACACACAAGCATGGGAGCAGGAAGCCCCAAGACTTTTAGAGCTAGTAAAGTTGAAAGAATTTCTTATACTTGCATTCTAGAGAATCCATTAAACAAGTGACATTAGTCAAAACTTTCCATAGTCCTTAGAGTCCTCACTTATAAAATGGGGAAATTATTTTACCTGTCTAAAGTTGAGGCCAAACTAGAAAATTTCTTCAATACAGTGATTCTACAAAGGACAGAAAATCCAATCTTGTTTCTGAAAGTTAAACCAGAAGAGTCTCATTAACCTTGTGGGCTGGGCTTATGGCCTTGGCCTCTGGGCTCATGGGTAAGATGGGGAAAGGGAAAACTAAAAAATTAAGACCCCAGGCTTGTGTCACTTGTGGGAGCGGGGCCTCAGTTTACCTAACCCATGTAGAATGAGAAATCTAGTGAAAGTAATAGCAAGAACTCAAGTTTCTAAAGAAAATAAACAGTACAGATGACATTTCAAGTATTGGGGAATAGAAGGATTATTGCATAAACTACACTGGGACAAGAGAAGACTTCTGTTCAAAGCAAAACAAAACATCCCCACAGAAGTTGCATTCTTATTTCACATCTTAAAGCAAAATCAATTCCAAATGGAACTAGAAACTGAAAACCATGAAAGAAACTAGATTAAAACAACAATGAGATGCCATTTTAACCTCTCAGATCAACAAAAAACAAGAAGTTTTAATATCACATTTTTGGCAAGAGGGTGAGAAATATGCATTTTCATAAATTTTAATAAAAGTTTTTCCAGTCTTTCCAGAGAACACTTCGGAAATAAACATTCAAATGAAAAATGTCCACACTATGAGCCACAGCATTTTTACTCTAGGAATTTATAATTTTACCCATGTAAATGACATATATATGAATATTTATTGCAGCATCAAGTAGTAAGAGATTGGAAACAACTCAAATGTTAATAGTGGACTGCAAATGAGATCGTTCTCTATACAGACAAGAAAGGCTCTTGAGATAGTAAATACTGCTAAAGGTATACACAGTATGCTATAATTAGCGTGTGGGAATAGGTTCATACCCTTATGTTTGTACTTGGACAGAATAGCTCTGGAACAACATTGAAACAAAGCCCTTGCTTCTGTGGAGTGGAACATGGTGTTTGTGAGATGGAGACTTATTTTTCATTGTATATCCTTTTGAATTTTCCACCTTAAGCATGTATTATCACATTTAAAAAAATCTCTTTTTAAACTTACTTGAGACTCTATCCCCAAATCACTCTACAGAAACACTTCTATAACCCAGGGCTCATGGAATAGTGCAGGAAACATCCCAGAAACAAAAATGCAGTAACTGCAGAAGATAGTTTTTGTAATAATAATTAAAAACTAGCAGGGAGTAAGCACACACAACAAATAGAGAACTAGCATCCCATGAATAAAATTAAAGTTATCAAAAAATTAAGAAATGGGGCTGGGAATGTAGCAGCAAAGCAGGGCACTTGCCTATAGCCTGGGCCAGGCCTGGGTTCAATCCCCAGTTCAAACCTCAATCAATCAATGGAATGTAAGAAAGATCACAAGACACAAAGAATAGCTGATATATCTCTATTAAGAATTCCTGAGCAAGGAACAGAGAGAATAGAGGTGGCAAAGTTTCTAAAAGAAATAAATGACACATGTTCACAGGTTTTAGGAGAGTCCAGCACATGGTAAAATCAAAACTATACCTGGAGAAATCCTAGTAGAAGAGCAGAATCCCAAGGGCAAAGAGAAAAAAGAAACTCACCTGCAGCCAAAGTCAACGACAGATGAATAAAAGGAACGACAAACCCCATGTGGACTTTTTGTCAAAAAGCAGGGAGTAGAGGCATGATGCTGCTGAGGTGATCAGGTAAAGCAACAGCCTCTCTAGTCTCAGAGCCTTGCCCAGACCCTTACCCCTGAGGACAGATGGAAGATCTCCTACCAAAGAGAAGAATTCTAGCACATACCTTACTCAAACCAAGACGGGATTCTGAACAAAGGAATGTGAAGCAAGAAATAGTGCATTTCTTTAAAAGGCAGTTACAGTGGTTAAATATGAAGACTATTAAAAAAGACATCAACTGACATGACAGTGGAGCCAACAGTCTAACAGTGACAGTGTTGAAAACAGGATAGGGAGGGATCGAAGTTAAACCTTTCCAACGAGGGCCAAGATATGCCCTGTGCTGCAACAACTCCAGGGGTATCACACCCATCTGCAGTCATGGCAATTTTGTATATTTGTTAAGAAAAAAATCTGTCTGAGGGAGTATATTGTCCAAAGAGGCAGCTGTTTCTAATTCACACTAAAATGATATTTGGCTACAATTCTTACATTGTTCTAATGGTCAGGATAGTGTTTATAGCCAAAACTTAAGGAAATTATCAAAAAAATAGAACTAGAATGCATTCAAATCAGTAAAGGAGAGTAGGTGGAAGGAATAAAATCTGAGAAGGAAAAACAGAGGGAAAGAGAGGAAAGAATCATACAGATGATTCTCAGCTTATGATGGGGTTATGCACTAAAAATATCCTAACTAAAAATGAATTTAATTCACTTCAGTCACTGACCATCCTAGTTTAGTAACAGCACACTATAGTGCACCAGTCGATTCACTAGCTGACTGGCAGCTGGAGCCCACTGTCTCTATCTCTGCATATTGCTAGCCAGAGAAAACAACAAATTTCAAGATTTGAAGTAGGGTTCCTTCTGTATATGTACTGCTTTAACACCACTGCAAATTAACAACAACAACAACAAAAATAAGTTGAACTATTGTAAGTTGCGGACTATCAGTAAAGAGAAACCACAAAATAAGATGGTAAAAATAAATGTAACTATATCAGTAATCACAAAACACATGAACTGATTAAGCTCTTAAAAGAAAGTGTTGATGTGAGATTTTTAAAAAATCCAGCTGTTATTATGAAAAAATAAATATAACACAAATTAGTTGAGAGTAAAGGGTTAGAATAAAAAAAAACCGAGATAATATGAAAATCAATAAAAATGATAAAGATGTTTCCAACATGATCAATTTTACATCTAGTATTAGATGGCTTCAATTTGTTCAGTATAGATGTACAGCCATCAGAATAATAATCCCGAGTCACAACACCCACATTCCCAGTCTTTGTATGGTTGGCTATTTCAGGTTTTTGTTTAAATGTCAACCCTTTTCTCTTGACAATCTAATATAAACAAAGTACTTTCATTAACTAAGCAATCTAAATAAAGTCCTTTGTTATTCTTTATTATATACCTTGTTAACTTTCTTCATAGCACATTTAATTATGAATTATAATTATGTGCTGAAATGTTTTTACTGCCTGTCTCAACAGACTATTAACTCTTTAAGGGTAGGGACACATTTGGTTGGAAAACTCAAGTTAACTCCCTTTCAACATCTTAAGGTTTTACTGTAATGAAATCCAGGGAATTCCTTCTTGGTATTTAAAAGAGGAGTTTAAACCACATATTATAGATCTGGAAGACAGGGTACAGGCTCTTAAAGATTAAAAAAAAAAAAGCTGTACAGTGATGTCCATGTGACATAGGGGGAGGAATGGTATATGTCACAGAATGTCAAAATAACAAAAGAATTTGAATGGTTAGTTCCAGTTGTTACTAGTCTACCATTTCTTCTACCTTGAATAAGATCTTCTGGTCTCAAGACTTAAGCTTTTCTTTTGTGATTTGTTTTACTATTCAATACAAATACAATTCCCTCAAAGATTAAGAACAATGGAATGATGCTGAACTTAGAAGGGACAACCAAGTAGGTGTTGCAGAAACAACTAGTAGAAATTTTAGAGAATATAAAATACTTCAGAGAACTTAGCCGATTCTTTTATCTATCTAGCTTCAAAGCAAGAAGCCAGGAGGACAGCTGGGTAGATACCCAGGGAGGAGGAGTCATGTTGGGTCAGATCTTCACATTGTAACTCTTGCTTCAACTGCAATTCTGCAGACCAAAGTATGAAATAAAAATTAACATAATGGCGATAAAGTTTGAAAAAGGAGAAAAAACACCTGAAGGGTCATGTGCTTCTTTCCCTAACATCTTGAATATTAGGTATCTCATAGGGTACTTTGGTGTCTTATTTTCTTTTCAGTAGAATTTTAAAGACAAATTGGACTTGGTTTTGGTATATGTTGAGGGACACATAGGAATCAGGGAGAAGTAATATTCCAAGTTTCAAGACTATGGCATAAACTATTAAAAAGACCAAATATGTTGTATTGGTAGAGTTCCACTGTGTAATGATAAAATTATTTAAAATACTGAGTCTTCAAAAAATCTATTATGACTCTGTAAGCATGTGAAATTGGATAGATGATGCAACAGTGGGAAAGGGATGGCCTATGAAGCCAGTTAGACCTGGGGTTGATTTTTGATATTGCTCTTTAATAGATATATGACTTTGGGCAAAATCTTTCAAGTTTCAGTTTTCACAAATGTAAAATGAGAACATTACCTATTTCTATGGCTGTTTGAAATTTAAATGAGATAATAAACTCAAGAAATAGCACTTCCTTCTCCTTTTCCTTTGACCTCTAGAATCAATGCAGTTCAACAGAACTCTCTGGAAGACAAAACTATTCTGTAGAATGCACTGTCAAATACAGTGGCCATGTAACTGAGCATTAGATGTGTGATTGGTGTTACTGAAGAACTCAATTTTTAATTAATTTTAATTTGGCCATTTGAGACTTGTGGCTATCATACTGAACAACACAAAGCACAACATAAAGCCACAAAAGTGTGTTTCTTTTATTTAGTACTTGGGATTGAACCCATAGTCCTTTACTACTGAGCTACACCCCAGTCCTTTTATTTTGAGATGGGGTTTCTCTAAGTTGCTCAGGCTGGCCCCAATCTTGCAATCCTCCTGCCTCAGACTCCTGAATTGACACTTTGCAAAGGTACACCATGTGCAAGGTGTTTCTTTGAGGCTTTAAATCCTTATGAGAACTGGGGGGGGGGGATATAAAAGAAAAACAACAATAAGGTTATCTACAAGTTTATCCCAAAATGCAGTTTACTAATTAGTGTAGATAAGCTTTGTGGTCAAACACATCTTGATTTATTATATGTCTGTGACCCAAGCTCATTCACCTAAACCTTAGACTTTTCATCTGTCAGGCAGGAATACCTAGCAACTTCAGGGAGAAATTGTGAAGATAACAAATTAATGGATCTGATAAGAGTTGGTGCTTAACAAATCTGGTTTCCTTTCTCCTCCCATATTCATTGTTTGTGACTTGATCATACTTTCCTCACACACTGGCCAAGTGCCTGACCCGTTACTACAAGTAATATTGACAAATATAGTTAACTCATTTTGACCAACAGTTGGTATTCTACATTTGTCAATACTACATTATAATTTTTAAAAATGTATGACAATGAGAAAATATGTCTCACATGAAAAACAAGTCACAAAACAATCAAATTCTCAAACTATGATTGTGAAACAAGAGTAGTCATTGGCTAGGCATAAAAACTAGATTTTCTAGCTCTCTTAGGTCATTCTTTCAAGTTACTAAGATTTTAAGATAAGTATTACTATTTCTGAATTATTCTGGTACAAAATAATTTGAGGATAAAAATAATTAGAAGTTATATTTGATTTATAGACAGAAACTTGGTTTCAGGACCTTTGCAAAGTGCTACGACATTTTCTACTAATATGAAATATAAACCCATTCTAAGCCCCAAAATGATCTGGCTACCTTTAAGTTTCCTTTTTTTTTTTTTTTTAAACATTCTTACTTTATTTTTTTTTTTTTATGTGGAACTGAGGATTGAACCCAGTGCCTCACATGTGCTATGTAAGCCCTCTACCACTGAGTCACAACCACAACCCTAAGGTTCCTTTTAATAATGTCTTCTAAATATCTCTAGTAGGCTATTGACCAATACTTAGAATAAAATAACTAAATATCACTCTTATGCTGTTCATCAGAACTTGGGAACTGGTGGGAAGTTAACCTAAAACTGACTTCACTGTTTTGAGGAACTCTTCAGTGCTCAAGCCACACAAAAGCAATCTACATTAGACCTACTACTCTTACCTTAGTTTTTAGTTTTTGTCACAGAACGTTTGCCAATGAAGGCTGCCAAACTATATGTCCATGACTCTATCCTATTTTCAGGTAGTACCAAAGCATAATGTATGGGCACTAAATGATTCTTTGTATCAATACTTTCTTTTATTGTCAGTTTAAATGGCACAAAGGCAGAGCTTTTTTGAATTCTATATTAAAAAGCTCAATCTATACAAAATTTCTAATCACTTCAACAGATTTTAATACCATTGAGGAAAAAGCTATAACTAGGTACAAAATAACGTGTAAATATTTAAAATAAAAAATTCATTTAACTTGGTCTGTTAAATACTGTACTTTGGCCCTATTCTCTTGTCCCACTTGCTCTTAAGTAAATAAACAACAAAAAGCATTAATTATTTCAGCTGATATAAGTAGGGAGACATCTGGTGTTCTTATTTATAGGACCAGAAGCAAATACCTTATAAATTACCTGTGACTTGGTTGGAGTGAAGGTAGATATATACACAGAAATACAACCAACCAAGAAATATATGAAATAGATCAACACCCCAAATCCTTTCTTATTTCTATTCTAATTAACAAACAACCAAAGTACTTCTAAAACATCATCCAGTCACCAAGCACTGAAATTGGAAGTATATATTTGCAAATGTCAATAAATCTCATGTACTAACAGATTAAATAAAAAAGGAAATAATTTTGTTTCCAGAATGCGAACCCCTTTGACTTTAAGAGTCGGATGTGTACTTCTTCCAGTAACAGTTCACTTTAGGTCTCTAACTTTATTATTTACTCTTACTCTAATCACTTATCTTTTTAAAGCTCAGTATTAACCACTGCACAACCAGAATGTGCAACGTGCTCAGTTTTATGGGACACCAACAGGTTGAGTCTGAAGTTTATTTGCTTGATCTGAAATGTATGACTACACTGTAAAAGAAGAGCTTCTAATTCAACTACCCTACATACACAGGTCTCTAAAAGTAAAGCTCTAAATAACTTCCAGAACCGATGGAGAGAGGGTCTGAATATACAGACAGCTCTTCTAAGTTTTTTTTCTCCTCAGTTCTGCTAAGGGGACACACAATAAACCATTATCAACGTGTATTCGGATACTTGTCTTCCTATTACAGAGGGAGAGAGAGGAGGAAAAAAAAAGGGAAAAAAAAAAAAACAAAATAAAAAGAAACCCGACAGGCACGCCTGCTGGGCACGGGAGCTCCACCCCACTCCAGGGCGAACGTCCCTGCCAGTCTTCTGCCGGGTCTGCGTTCGGGTCGGTCCTCGTCCCAGACAGTGTTAATCTTGCAAAGCATCTCCGAACCAAAACTGCTTTAGGAAGAGTCCGAGGTGTTGCCTGCGCGCCCGGACTTCACAGACCGGAGGGCTGGGGCTTGAACTACGTGTCCCTAAACGTGGCCTCGTGGGGAGTGGTCCAGAGGGGAAGGCAGACGCGGGCGACGCCGGGGAAAGAAGGGAGAGGTGGGAGTCCCAAGGCCTACAACTCTGGGTCTCCGCTCTAGAAGCCCCCTCCGCCCCCACCCGTCCCAGACCTCGGAAAGCCCAGGAAAGGCGGGCGCCAGCGTGACTGGCGACGGCTACGGGAATTTTGAAAATTTCAGCTCGAGAGAAAGCCGCGAGGGGACCGGGACGGGAGCGGACGGGC